AGATCCCATCTTCAAAAATAAATTAAATAAATAATAAAATAAAATTTGTCCAAAATAAAATGTAAAAAGAAAAAGGAATGAACTGGTACACACAACAACATGGATGAACTTCAAAAACATTGTGCTGAGTGAAAGTAGCCTCACATGAGAATATACATTGTACAATTTCATTTATATTAATGGGAAATTCTGGAACAGGCAAAACTAATCTATTACAGAATAAATCAAAACAGTAGTTACCTGTGGAGGAAGAGGGCAATAATTGATCAAGAAGAAGCATTAGGGGTATATTTTTGGGGTGGTGGCAATGTTCTCTATTTTGGTAGGGTTTTGGGTTACCTAAGTGTATGCATTTCTCAAATCTCAGCTAATGTACACTTAAGACTTACGCATTTAGTCAGGTGAGGTGGTGCCTGCCTGTAGTCTCAGCTGCTCGAGAAGATGAGCTTGAGCCCAGGAGTTCAAGGTCAGCCTGGGCAACACAGCAAGACTCTTCCTCCAAAAAATTTTAAAAAGACTTGTGCATTTCACTGTATGTATGCTTTACACTGAAAAACTATAAACAAATATTGAACTCTAGTTCATGATATGCATGTCAAAGTATTTAGGGGAAAATATACTGATATCTGAAATTTACTCTGAAAAGTACTCCTGAAAAGTAAGATGGGTTAATGCAGAGGCCAGCAAATTGCTGCCTATTTTTATAAAGAATATTTTAGTGGAACACAGCCACACCCTGTTTTTTGTGTGTGTTTTTTGTTTTGTTTTGTTTTCTTGTTTGAGACAGGGTCTCGCACTGTTGTCCAGACTGGAGTGCAGTGTGGCTTCATCATGGCTCACTGCAACCTTAAACTCCTAGGCTCAAGTGATCCTCCTGCTTCAGCCTCCAAAGTAGCTGGAATAACGGGTATATGGCACCATGTCCAGCTAAATTTTCCTTTTTTTTTTTTTTGTAGCAACAGGGTCTTGCTATGTTGCCCAGGCTGGTTTCAAACTCCTGGCCTTAAGCAATCCTTTTGTCTTGGCCTTTCAAAGTGCTAAGATTATAGGTATGGAGCCATTGTGCGCAGCCATCCTTTCATTGATGTATTATTATTTTTTATTTTTTTCTATTTTTTTGTGAGGCAGGAAGGGCAACAAGGCTGGCGTGTTGCTCCCCGCCCTGGCCCCCCATTGATGTATTATTTATGGCTAGTTTCCTGCTACAAAGGCAGAGTTGAGTAGTTGTGTGAGAAATATTCACTATTTAGCTCTTTGGAAAAAAGTTTGCTGACCCCTTACTGAGGGATGGATAAATGGTATATGATACAGCAAGCATAGTAAAACATTGAAAGGCAGTAGATATATACATACCCTGTAAAATTCTTTTGACTTAGGCCGGGCGTGGTGGTTCACGCCTGTAATCCTAGCACTCTGGATTGCTTGAGGTCAGGAGTTCGAGACCAGCCTGAACAAGAGAGAGAGACCCCCGTCTCTACTAAAAATAGAAAAATTAGCCGGGTGTGGTGGCGCATGCCTATAGTCCCAGCTACTCCGGAGGCTGAGGCAGGAGGATCGCTTGAGCCCAGGAGTTTGAGGTTGCTGTGAGCTAGGTTGACGCCATGGCACTCTAGCCCTGGGTGACAGAGTGAGACTGTCTCAAAAAAAAAAAAAAAAAAATTCTTTTGAGTTTGCTGTATGTTTCAATATTTTCAGGATAAACTGTCAGAAAAATATAATTTTTTGAAAATTTGAAAATTCAGTTATCATTTTTTAATATTAAAATGGTAAAACTATTCTCTATTACGAAGAAAACTTCAAATATCAGGCTGACAACAACAATTCTGACGGTATAAAGTTTACAAGAGGCTGCCGGGCACAGTGGCTCATACATGTAGTCCCAGCTACTTGAGAGGCTGAGACGGGAGGATTGCTTGAGGCCAGGAGTTTGTTCGAGAGCAGCCTGGGCAACATAGTAAAACCCTGGCTGAAAAAAAAATTTACAGGTTTTATTCACAGTAGATAAAAAAGCAAGTCCCCTTTCCATTTACATGGATGGTTCTTTTGGGGAAAACACCTGACACAGATCAGTGTTTCTCACAATCAGCCTTTCCTTGAGCTCATGGTCCTTGTTTTTAGTCTCAGACTAACAAACTCTAAGTAAAGTTAAAGCTATTCCTATAAACCACACACTACCAAACAGACTAGTTTACAGAAACCAGGTTTGGTTGATTCCCTTGACTGATGTATCACGAGCTCATGTCTGACCAGCCAGATTCCCAGGGAGGACTGTGGAAATGTCTTCAGAAGTCTTTTTTTGGTAGGAGCTGAGTAGGGGAAATCTAATCCCAACCCTCCTGTCTGCACATTCTGGGATTCCTCAATTGGTCTAGTGCCTCAGCCACTCATGTGGTTTTAGTATGTGGCCTTCAAAGTAGAGGAGAAACAGGAAATCTGAAGGTGCACTTTTGCTATAGACCGAAGGTTCATGTCACCTCAAAATTCTTATGTTAAAACCTAATTCCCAGTGTGATGGTAGTAGGAGGTAAGGCCTTTGGAGGGTTATTGGATCATGAATGGGATTAGTGCCCTTATGAAAGAGACCCCAGAGAGCTCCTTCTCTCCTTCTACCATGTGAGGAAACACAAAGAAGACAGCCATCTATGAACCAGGAAGTGGCCCTCTGACCAGACACCAAATCTGCTGCTACATCTTGATCATGGACTTCCCAGACTCCAGAACTATGAGAAATTTCCATTGTTTATAAGCTACTCAGTTTATGGTATTTTGTTATAGCAGTCCAAACTCACTAGGATACCTATCCTCAGTATGCAGCCATTGCTCTCTATTTCCACCACCAAGAGAAGGCCCAGGGTATAGAGCCTATGCCAGGCCTTGCAAACACATAGCACTGACAAGAAGTTCTCAACACCTGAGGTCTTCACTGAGAAGCAGTCACAAGAGATGCCCCATATCTGAGGTGTGAGAAGTAATCGCACATTTCCAGTGGATTAACTGCTACCAATGAAAAGAACTACACACCAGCATCTACAGAGAAATCTATTTCTTTGTAGAGTAAATTCAGTTCCGCCAAACTAAGCCAGGGTCACACGAACCTAAGCATTTCCTTGCAACATGACCAAACTGCATGGTCCTCAAATTACCAGTACTGTCTTGGAAAAAGTGCCAAAATAGCTCAGAAAAATACAGTAGTCTCCCCTTATGTGTGGGAAGTATGTTCCAAGATCCTCAGTGGATGCCTAAAACCATGGATAGTACTGAATCCAATTGCTGTCAATCGGAGTACATCTCTGTTCATGTCTTCCACCCACAAATATAATGCCTTTTCCGTCTTAACCAAGCACTTATGCATGGTGGCTGTACTTTCTGCAGTCTGAGATATGACAGCAAAATTAGCATGAATTTCTTTTTCCTTCTTTACAATTTCACAGATAGAAGATTCATTCTTACCACAGATCTTTGCGACTTCAGCATATGATTGTTTTCTTTCCTTACTAAGTCAAGAACTTTCACCTTTTCATTTCAAGGAAGCCTTTTATGGCTTCTTTTGGAATATCCAAATTACATCACTTCTCTTATGCTCCGGGGCCGTTATTAAGTAAAATAAGGGCTACCTGAACATGACTACTGCTGGATGGCTACTAAGTGACTGGGTGGGTAGTGTAGCATATACAGCAACGATATGCTGAACAATGTGATGATTCACATCCCGGGTGGGACAGAGCAAGACCGCACAAGATCTGATCACGCTACTCAGAAGAGCACACCATTTAAAACTTACAAGTTATTTATTTCTAGAATTTTCCATTTAATATTTTTGGACTGTGGAAAGCAAAACTGTGGATACGGGGAGACTACTGCACTAAAAGGCATCTGAAAGATCATTTCTGGGTTAAAATGGCCAACACAAAACATTTGTAAATAAGGTCAATCTAAAGTTTATGCCTCCTACAACTGTGGCTAAGATGCTAAAAAAAACTGTTTAAGTGATAAATAGGAAAAAAGCTAAAAGACCATTATAACAAAAATATTTTAAAAATCAATGTTACCTGATCAAGATTTTTGAAAAGAAGAATATCTTTGCAAGCTTCCTGAAGTCTGCATCTCTGTTCATCAGTTTTAGGATGAATCACCTGCCAATCCAAATAAAACAAGGGAGATTTTTAAAAATTCCATTTAAAAAGCACCCACTTAAAAACTGGTATATTTCTTTCTCCAAAAAGTGGAGCAAATTAAGAGCATATTTTATATAATTTTAATTCTACACAAATACAAAGCTGTACACTGAATGTGGAAGGGCAATGTGACGCAGGGGTGAAGAGCACCAACCCTGGAGTGACCTGCTAGCTACGTGGCTGGCAGCAAGTTGGCAGTCTCCTGGAAGCCTCAGAGTCTTCATCTGTAAAGTAAAGGTTATAAATTTGTTCATTCAACAAATATTGTGTACTGACTCAGGGCCAGGCAGAATCCTTGCTCTGGAGACACAGCAGTGAACACATAGACAGAAACACCTGTCCTCACATTCAATAAATACAGGCAATATGTTAAAGTGTTAAGGTTAAGGAGAAAAAAAAAGGTAGGGAAAGGAGGTAAGAAGTGTGAGTGTACAAGTGTGTGTGCATGTGTGGCCAGGTGAGGCCTCACTGAGAAGGCGACATTTGTGTAAAGAGCTCAAGGAAGTGAGTTCAACCTGAGGGAGTGAGTCATATGCGTATTTCTACGAGAAAAGCACCCCAAGCAAAGGGAACAGCAAGTGAAAACAAGACTTTATGGTGCAAATGTGACTAGTAAGTTTGAAAAACAACCAGGAAGCAGGTGTAGCTGATGCAGAGTGAGGGAGAAAGATCAGGAAACTGGGTTGGGGGAGAGAGGCTCAAATCACAGAGGGCATTGTAGGTCACAGAAGAAATGGAACTTTATCTAGGAACATGGGAACGATTAGAGGGTTCTGACTGAGGACAGAAAGAGATCTGACTAACGTTTTTAAAAGATCACACTGGCCACTGAGTGAAAGACAGCCTGGAGGAAAGCAAGAGTAGAAGCCAGGAACCTACAGTGACTATCCCAGTGCCAGATGGTGGTGGTTTGGACCAGGATGGTAGCCATGGAGGTGTTGAGAAGCAGTAGAATTCTGAATATGTTTTGAAGACAGCACCCATCCAATTTACTGTATGAAAAAAATGAGAGGAATTGAGATTGACCCCAGAGTTTTGCAAATGAGCAACTGGAACAACGGAGCTGCCATGAATTAAGCTGGTGAAGATGAATATTTAAGAAGAAATAATCAGGAGTTCATGTTAAGTCTCAGTTGCCTATTGAATCTAAGTGGAGATGGTAAGTAAACAATGGCTATAAAAGCTAGAGTTCAAACATCGACAACTTAGTAGTAGTAGTAGTAGTGGTAATCTATTACGCAAATGAAAGCTGTTATAAGGATTATTAAATAAATTAATACATGTAGTGTTTCAAACAGTATCTTTCATTTACTAGGTACTCAAAAACTACTATTATTATAGAAAATAAATGCTTACTGAACTAAACAGAAATAATTATTGCCTAATATTGGTATTATATTTGAGACCTATCAAACTCCTTCCTAAGAATTTTTGTCACTCTAAAAAAGATACATCATTTAATCTGACCAGAAATAACACGTTAAGTATTAAGTATTTTAGGCCAGGCATGGTGGCTCACACCTGTAATCTTAGCACTCTGGGAAGCTGATGAGGGAGGATCCCTTGAGGTCAGGAGTTCAAGACCAGCCTCAGCAAAAGTGAGACTCTGTCTCTATTAAAAATAGAAAGAAATGATTTGGGCAACTAAAAATAGAAAAAAAATTAGCCAGGCCTGATGGTACACTCCTGTAGTCCCAGCTAATCCGGAGGCTGAGGCAGGAGTATCGCTTGAGCCCAGGAGTTTGAGGTTGCTGTGAGCTAGGCTGATGCCATGGCACTCTAGCCCAGGCAACAGAGCGAGACTCTGTCTCAAATAAAAAAAAAAGTATAAAGTATTTTAAATTTCTGATACTAAGTTAGAAAAAAACTGTTTTAAGTTTTAAAAGTCATTAAGAATTTTACAATTTCTAGAATGAAAAGTTTTTTATTATATTCACATAATGGTAGCTTTTGTTTTTTGAGACAGAGTCTCACTCTGTCACCCTGGGTAGAGTGCCGTGGCGTCATCATAGCTCACTGCAACCTCAAACTCCTAGGCTCAAGCAATCCCCTTGCTTCGGCCTCCCAGGCAGCTGGGACTACAAGCGCGTGCCACGACGCCCGGCTAAGTTTTCTATTCTTATTAGAAACTAAGTTTTCTATTTTTAGTAGAGACGGTGTCTCACTCTTGCTCACACTGGACTCGGAATTCCTGAGCTCAAGCGATCCTCCCGCCTCAGCCTCCCAGAGTGCTAGGATTACAGGTGTGAGCCACCACGCCCAGTGAATGGTAGCATTTTATTATTAGAATACTTCAGAAATCACTCATAGGTTACTCATTTTAAGGTATACATGATAGATCAATAAAGTTTCTTTTATAACATCGATTTTTAAAAAATGATAGTTCATATTTACTTTCATAAAAGTAATTTATGCTAATTGTACAAAAGTTTAAAAAACTTGATTTTTTAAAAAAAAGCACCCAAAAATCAACCATAGTCTTACCACAACCATTGTTAACATCTGGGGTATATCCTTTCATAGATATAATTCTATGTACATACATACAAACAGATAAATACATTAATTTTTTTTTTATTTTACAAAATGCTCTATAAAATGCATCTTATACAAACATACATTCCGTGCCATCAAATCCAGTCCTCTACAATCATTTTCAATGGCCATGAATTCTCTTGATTTGAATGTACCATAATTTAGCCCCTGGAAATCCTATACTTGGGGTCATTTAGGTTGTTCCCATTTTTCTATCTATCACATCACTAAAAGGTTTGTAGATGTCAATTTTTATTAAGACATCCTCAAGAAGGCTCCAACTGCTCATTAGGAATGTTCATTAGTTAACCTTTAGGTTAACTGCTGAGTCAATTGGCTTAACTATGTTTAAGGCTTCTGACAGCTACAGCTAGGCTCCCCTTCTCACCATACCCTTATGCAGTGCTGCTCTCAATCTGTTAGGTTAGAAAATGGTATCTTGTTGAGATTTTAATTTGTATTTATTTTAATTATCAGCATGACTAGATTTTGGTGTGTAGAGGAGGGGAGTCAGTGTGAAATACAACAATTCTACCTAGTACCTTTACTTTGGTTCTTACCCTTGGATCAGTATCTTCCTCTTCTTCATCAGGGTTGTAAGTCTCAGCACAGACTAAAATTGGAAAGAAAAAACAAAGGGAAAATGAATTTAACAGATGTGTGATTTTAGAAAAAATAAAATAGTAAGTCAATTATCTATTTACTTTTTATTCACTATTTTCTAAAGTTGTAATGACCTTTTTAAATTCCTTCTTTCAATGAATAGATACATTAAGTACCTACCAGTGTCAGGCATTCTCAGGTGCTAAAAACCCTGCTCTCTAGAGACTGGTGGTCCCAAATAGGAGAAAGGTGATGAAATATACCACCTACTAAATCTTATGGTACTATAGTGGCAAGAGCAAACAAGGAGGTGTTCTCTGCTGAATTATGAAGCAGGGGTAAAAAAAACCATGATGTACAATATATGCAGTATAAATACAGAGATATGGAAGTAATTACCAAAAGAATCAATTAACATAGTTCGAAGTCATTATGTGCATGTATAACTTAAAAATAAGAATAAATTTTAAAACAAAACAAATACTATGTGTCAGGTTCTGTTCTAAGTATAATATTATATAAACCTAAAGCCAACCTGACTTTCTTTGTAGGTAACTTGTGTTTGTGCCAGTTCCCTATAGGCCTATTCTTTGTCACTGTAATTCAGAGATTTAAAAAATATTCATTGCAACTTTATAATACCAAAATATCAGAAATGATATAAGTATACATTTGAATAATGCAGCTATAAGAAACAATGAAGAAAAGTTTCATGGGCTAATAGTGAGTGAGTTCTAAGGAACAAAAAGCAAAAAAAAAAAAGGCAAGGTGAAGAAGAGTATAGATAGTATACTATGCCTTCCATAAGAAAGTACTCCCATTAGAAAGAAGGAAAGCTAAGAATGGAGGGAAAATATTTTTTACTTGTTAATTTTTCCAAAAGGAAACAATTTGGGAACAATAAACCAGAAAGTAATGAAATTGTTTTCCTAGAGTGTAGGTAGAATCAAGAAGGAAAGGATAGGAAAGGAAATTAAACTACTCTGAGGAAATTATTTTATATTAAAAGGTTTTTTTGACATGTAAGCCATGTTAATGTTTCACATTTTTTAAAAATTAAATTAAACCGATAAAGAGGACCCTAAAACCAAATATAAGAAACAAATAAACCTAACCGTGTAGCAGGCTGATAATATAACCACAAGGAAGGAAAGAATTATTCTTTTTTTAAATTTTTTTTTCCAGAACTTTTCAGGGGTACAAATGCTTCGGTCACATAAATTGCCTTTGCACCACTCGAGTCAAAGCTACAAGGGTGCCCAACCCCCAGACAGTACGCACCACACCCACCAGGTGTGAATTTACCCATCCCTTCCATCCCCCTCCCACCTGCCCGATCCCTGATGAATGTTACTTCCATGTGTGCACATAAGTGTTGATCGATTAGTATCAATTTAATGGTAAGTACATATGGTGTTTGTTTCACCATTTTTGTGATGGAAAGAAGGCTTATTCTAAGTAGCTTCTGAAATAGTAAGTGGGGTCTACTGTATCCTAACAACAAAAAAGAATTACTGTTGGTGATCGACAGCTATTCCAAACTCTTCTGTATTACGGTAGTGAGTACATAAACAAAACCACATTTTTTTCACTGGAAAGAAAGGGGATACAAATACGGAATGGAGGAAAAAGTACAATTGGAGATATCAATACAAATCACGATTTTAAAATCTTACCCTTAGGTATTAGGGGCAAAGTCAATGAACTATCTAGTGAATAAAAAGAGTTTTGTGTTCACTAACAAAACTGTTTTGCCAATAATGAACTAAAAGTGATCACTGGTTTCTCAGAATGCAGCAAACCTGTTTCCTCTTCACAACACAGGCCATTACAGCTGGAGTTAAGTTTTCTTCTGATAAATTCTCAAATATCTGTAGCAGCTGTGTGACCAGAGGTGATTTACTGCAAATTTCCACTCTCTCCTCTGTATATTGGAGCTAACAATTTCTCACTGTCGGAAGGATTCAAGTAGGCAAGTGCCAGGCACACAGTAAGGATGCAGTAGATGCCAACTCTTTGAACTATTACTATCATTACTACTGTTCCATTTGTTCTGATGTTCAGGAATAATTATTATTGTTGCCTTGGTTCTATTCTCTATCTCAGCTCTTTCAACAACTATCCTTTCTTCAAGGCTGCCCTCCATCACAGATTTTTGACCCTACTCTCATTTGTGTATTGGCTAAAAGACCCCATATATCTACAACTAGCAGACAAGCTGATATATACCACTCCCAATTTAATTTTTAGTTTCTTGGAGACATTCCAGCCCAATTTCCCCTTCCTGACTGATTTTCTGAAATAATAAAATAGCTGAGAATGGTGGCTAAGGCAGGGAAGAGTGAATCCTATATACAGGACATGCCAGAAGCATAAGCCAGGAAAGTAACAGTGGGAAGTAGGTAATGACTCACTTTCTCCATGCATTCCTCTTTCCTGGAGATGAGGTAGGGTGCATTTACCATAGTTCTGCCCTAAAGATTAAGGCAGACATCTACCTTAGTTTCTAGCCATTTTTATTGCCACTTTTGGCATCTTCATAGGTATCTTGGTAGGTGATTGGAGAAGCTGCATCAAGGGCATCTAACCAGACACTATGTTAAACTGCAAGCTTCTTGGTTCTCTGTGCTCTTGATTAAGGTCATTATCAGGCCAGTTTTCTAACTAGAAATTTGGAATTCGTCATGACTTCCTTCTTTCACCTCTTATTCAATGAATACATCACATTCTGCTACAGAAATATTTTTCATACATGACCTTTATTCAGTCTATTCCAAATGCTACTCCTTGGTCTAAGACTTCAAAACAAGTACTTAATAAAAATTTTTTTAAACCTTTACTCCAGGAGATAGATGGGTACACAGATGTTATACTAACTTTCTCTACTTTTGTGTATAAAATCTTTCATTTAAAAGGTTAATATTGGCCGGGCGCGGTGGCTCACGCCTGTAATACTAGCTCTCCAGGAGGCCGAGGCGGGTGGATTGTTTGAGCTCAGGAGTTTGAGGTTGCTATGAGCTAGGATGACGCCCGGCTCTCCAGCCCAGGCAACACAGTGAGACTCTGTCTCAAAAAAATAAAAAAAATAAATAAAAATAAAAGGTTAATATTGAATATGATGAATCTGATCAATATTTAAAAAGGTTTAAGAAAGCCTTTAATGATGAGACTGATATGATTTTACTGATAATGACATTTAATCTTGGGCTAGCCTATTTCTAGGTTTGCTTTTCCTCCAATTTTGGAGGAAAGTACTTTAGCAACTTAGCTCATTTTTATATTTTTAGACATTAATATAACTGAGGTAGAAAATGCTAATTATAATTTTCAAATCTTTAGATACAGCACTGTGATTTAAATAAAAGTAGTTATTTTCATTATAATTATCAATATGTTTCTATTTGTGGAAAAACATTATGTCTCAATTTTCCAAAACTGGTTTTCAATTTTCTTCCCTTTTTTTATCTTTTTCTTTTTTTCCCCCAGAGATAGGGTCTCGCTCTGTCACCCAGGCTAGAATGCAGTGGACTGATCATAGCTCACTGTAACCTATAGCTCCTGGAATCAAGCAATCCTCCTGCATCAGCCTCCCAAGTAGCTAGGACTATAGGCACATGCCACATGCCCAGTTAATTTTTTTTTTCAGAGATGGGGTCTCGCCATGTTGCCCAGGCTGGTCTTGAACTCCTAGCCTCAATCTTCCCAAGTCAGCCTCCCAAAGTACTGGGATTACAGGCATGAGCCAACATAACCAGCCCCGTTTTCTACCTTTTTATTCCTTTATCATGGTAAGAACACTTAACATGGGAACTAGCCTCACAATAAAATTTTAAGTGCACAACAAGGTATTGTGAACTAATAAGCACAATGCTGTACAGCAAATCTCTAGAACTTGTTCATCTTGTATAACAAAAACTTTATACCCATTGAACAGCAACTCCATGTTTCTCCCTCCTACCAGTTCCTCCCATCTACCATTCTACTCTGTTTCTATGAATTTGACTTTTTAGACACCTCAGTATTTGTCCTTTTATCACTGGCTTACTTAGCATAATGTTTTTTTTCCCCTTTTTTTTCCTTTTGAACTCTTGACTCACCTCCCTTTGCTTTCTTCCTCTGTTCCCACCTAAGCTCTCTACTTCCTGGTCCCAAATTACTTCCCTCACTTTCTATGTAAAAAACCATTTTTAAGTGCCTACTTGATTGTTGCTACCCCTATGGTTCTGCATATCAGGGAGCTTGCTTCAGTGTACAAGTTATCTGGAGAAGGTCCATAGTTTTGTGTGATCCTCTATACAGCCTCAAGAACTGCACTGTGTCTCATGAGATGCTCAAGACCTATTGAAAATGAAGATTAAAACAGCAGCACAGCCCCTTGTTTAAGGGAATTTATTTTGCTGTAGGTCTCCAGAAGATGTCACTAGTCAGTAATGTGATACTACACAAAGTGATGACAAACATTATCTAGCACAATTTCTTCCAAATTTTAACTGGTGCCTCCTTCATCCAGAAATGTGAATCATTAAACTGTACTTGTTTCTGCTGAGAAATCCTCTACTAAATAATAACAATAATAAAATAAAATAAATAAATAAATAAATAAAATGTACTTGTGAGAGAAAACCCTTTCATTTCTATAAAAAAATGAGCACTGGCCAGATACAGTGGCTCATGCCTGTAATCCTAGCACTCTGGGAGGTGGAAGAATTATCTGAGGTCAGGAGTTTGAGACCAGCCTGAGCAAGAGTGAGACCCCTATCTCTACTAAAAAAAACAAACAAAAAAAACAGCAAAAAGCAAAACCATGAAAAACTGTGTTTAAAACTAAAAAATAAAAAAAGAAATGGGCACAAATCCTGGTCACGTAGACCTAAGGCCCTGTGCTGCCCTGCCATAACAAAATACCACAGACTGGGTGGTTTCAACAACAAAAATTTACTTTCTCACAGTTCTGGAGGTTGGAAGTCCAAGATCAAGGTATTGGCACATTTGGTTTCTCCTGAGGCCTCC